CCCCTCCCCCCATAGGAAGTACGGCGGGTCCCCCCCCCCGTGACATTTTAAAGAGGGGGGATCCCCAACCCCAAAATCCCCCCACCCGCCCCTTTAAAATTTGCCAAGGTTGAGGAACCCTGGAGTAAAGGATCTATGTATGTGTGAGTATAAAGAATTGCTCCTAAAACCACCTCTTTGTTCCAGGACTCCATTCCAGCATCTACCTTACTTTTTGGCAACGCTTCTGACAACACCTCAAATTCTTTAGCTCAAAGATTAGGTATGTACATGCATGGGTTTTTAAAGTGTAACACAAGTAAGTCGAAAAAAATTATGGCAACATACGTTGGGCTTGACAACCTTTTTATGTGCTGGGTAGCATGATATGAAAATTTAAAAAATAACATTAATGGCCCAAGTCCTATGAGAACATCATAAACCTTGTGAGTTATCAGCAATCTTTTAGTATGTTTATTGTTATTATTTTAAATGATGTTGGTGCTTCCTAGATAACCCCTAGCACTATTGAAAGCAAATCAGTTGTTTTTTAAAATATACTTTTTATCCTGAAGAGCTCCCACATAGAAAATTTATCCCACATGTAAGTATCTACCTCCCAGTCTTGACCAGTTTTTGTCAGCTACTGTGGGCTTGAAACTGGGGAAACATATGATAGCATTTGATTTCTGCTGTCTTCCCTCAAAGGTTGATGGACTTGTGCTTTGTTTCTATTTTAGCCAGCAAGACTAAAAAGCAGATTTTTGTCAGCTATAACATTCAAAACACTGACAGCCGCTTCATACTACTTGTAGAAAATCGTATCAAGGAGGAAATGGCAACCTTCCCAGACAAATTTTAGCTTGGCATAGTCACATTTTTGTTCATGTTTTTTTTAAAGAAACATTTTTAAAAAACCACGTCTTGATCTTTTTGTCACTGAGTTATATATTTTGGACAGTGAAATGCATTCAGTTTGATTTAGCTTCTTTCTGAACCCACGTAGAGAGTGAATCTAAACCTCTAATGGAAATAAGTGTTCAGCTCTTCGGATGCTCCTGCTGGGAAAGTCTAGAACCAGAGTAAATGCAGCAACATTTGGCAGCTGTTGCCACCTACTGTTTCTGCTTGATATGGCACAGATCTGTTTTGACTTTTTTAATCCATACATGATCTAGTTCTCTCACATCCAGCCAACGGTAAAGCGAATCTGTTCAGTGGAAAATATCAAATTTGAAATGGATTCCTTGCAGAGTAAATACCCACAGCAAACATAGTCAAGGAAAAAGATGTAAAATTTACTCAGGAAGTGTAGTGTTATGAGCCTCCCTAGCCATTTTTAATAGTATGGTGTGCAATTTGATTAACTGTTTTCACATTTTATGAGCATCATTGGTGAGCAGGCCTACATTTTATCAGGAAAGGGGGAAGCATCTAGAACAGTTTTTTTCAACCTTGGGAACTTTAAGATGTGTGGACTTCAACTCCCAGAATTCCCCAACCAGCCATACTGGCTGGGGAGTTCTGGGAGTTGAAGTCCACACATCTTAAAGTTCCCAAGGTTGAGGAACACTGATTTAGAAGCACATCTGTGAGGTGAGGCAGAAATGGTATTTGAGTCACAGGTTTCTTCTCAGAAAAATGTATTTCAGTGCATAAAGTAAAATAGCTATAGACTGTATTGCAAAGGAAACCACTTGTGCTCAAATATGGTTATCAAATTAAAAAAATAACAAATATCTAATACAGTAACGTATGTACTTCCTTATTCATCCACTAAATCAATAACAAGACAAGCTAAATTTCAGTTAAAGTTAATTATTTTCATTAACTTTAACTGAAATTTAGCTTGTCTTGTTATTGGAATGTTTTGCCTGTCAAGTCCATGGACCCCCTAAAATCTATCCAGACTTCCAAGGAGCTTGGGGACTCCAGGTTAAGAATCCTGGTTTACAGTGGAAGCTTCAGTGAAAGGAGTACAGATGGGAGGTATTATTCTTATGGCAGGGACCTTTTTCCAGACTGAAGAGTGGAGAAAATGTTCATAAAAACACACTAGCTAATCTGATTGACACAACACAGGCTTGTAAGGAAACTCTGCCCCTTTACGCCACATCAGCTAACTCTCACTGCTTCTAGGAGAGTGAGTTGAAATCTATTTTTGCAGTATTGTTGCATAATTCCTAAAGGCATTTTACTGTTTTGGGACAAGATTTAATTCTGCAAGGAGAGTGTGTGCTGCTTGTTTTTCGTTTTCCAGTCTCTAATACTGTACTAAAAACCTTAAGAAACTCAAATCTATCCTGCTAGATAATAGCAAAGCATACTGAATCCAGTATTCTTTGCCTAAAGCTCCTAATCAGTTGCTCTAGATCAGACCTGACTCTTTTGTTTGGCTTTTAGGAGTTTTCTTTAGAGGTATAATAGGTGTATTAAAGCTATTGAAGGCTTTACATGGCTGTTTTCTTTCTTATTTACATAATCCTCTAGGCTGCTGAATTTCAGCAGGGCATTCTTCGCAAGGCAAGGGGTGGGAAGGTCTCTGTGGAAGACAGAAAAAAGGCTGTGGGGCAGTTACGGCTGCCAGGTCTTGCATAGATCTTAAGAGATCTTGTATTTCAGGTGATAGTTTTCTTGAGGAAAAGCCAAAAGCAGCTTTGAGCAAAAGCAGCATCTGCAACAGTGTAAAATGGGGTAATGCTGACAAGATTGATGAGCACTGAGTCCAATCTTAATGGAGCAACATCTTTTATTCCTGTACATTTACATACAAAGTTGTTCAGTAGGTACAACAGATGTAACATCATGCAGACATTTAGCTTTTAAGACTGTTCTTCAGTAGTTGATAGTTAAGCTTGTGCTATGAAGAAGCACCAACTACTCATGATAAAAAAAAAATAGTACAGTAACAACGATTAGTCAAGAAAACTTCATCAGAAATTGAGGGAAAGGGCAGGAATCTCACCCACTACAGACATAGCACACTACTCTGTTCCAAAATGTTTTCACACAGTACATTGAAAAATGAGGTTTTGTTAACTTTATTTTTTTAAAATCAAGTGTGAACCATCTTCCACACTTGTTGTCTTTCTGTCCCAACTACAGATGCAACTTGATATGACATTCAGAGTTCATTTTAATGGCACTTCTGAGTTTGGTGACTTTTTTCTCTCTCTAGTTTGGCTTTAGGATCTGGCAACATAAACAGTTGTAATTCAAAAAGCAAAACAAAACAAAACCCAGAGCCAACAATTCAGAATACTCATAAGAATTTATTCCTACAACGATCCATAACAAGGTTCTCCGTACCATTTTCAGACTGTTTTGGTATAAATGGCACAGAAAGTCTTTTAATGTTCAATTTTGATCTGAGCTTTCTTGCTATTTAAAAGGTTTCCAGTAAATTATTTTCAAGGCTACAAACACACCTACAAAAAATGGCCGAACTTGAGTTACCAAAAGCAGAACTAGAAAAATTGAAGCGGACAGAGTGGACACTGATGCTTTCCCTGTTCGGATAAATATGAGGACTTGTTTCTCTCTTCCAGGCCAGACAGCCTCCTTGAGTTTCCTAGCTGGAATGTCTGGCTGCCTTGGGTCTCAAGATCTACCCTTTAGTTTTCTATGAAATTGCCAAATGTTATATGCCGTTTAGAATTATTTGGCAAGAACCAAGGATTGGATCTGTGTTCTGTAGCAGTCAGTTTTCAGGCATTCTTGTGCTAAAGCTGGTCTTGAAATCTGTGCAACTAGAGAGCATCCCTCCCCTTTTGCATATCCCGTTGCAACGGCTTGTGGTGAAGCAGCAGAAGCTGATCTGACTGAGCATGTTCTGTTGTTCGGCAGATTGTCAGGCTTCATGGCTGCTGCAGGGAAAGGCCGTAGTGGCACTTTTCTATAGCACTGATGTGTTGTTGCTTAGACACCACAGGGAAAAAATGGCATCAGATACACGATCAGTGTCAAATGATCACTTTTAATGGAGCATTCAAACCATTCTCACGGTATACAATGAGCATGGTGGTAACAGAATCATGCCAGAACCATACCCATGCTGCAGTACATGTGCAAACATAGGTCCCCTACCACTTCTGCTGAACCTAGACCCACTGAAAGGAACAGCCAAACAGCACGCTCCCATTCCCGTCTGCAATGGGTGACAGTGTTCTTTTTGATCAACCTTTTCCCATTAAAGGGAAATATTTTTAAAGATTTTTTTACTTGATTTTAATACATGTATTGCCATTCTGTTCCAATTGAACATTCAAGCTGGCTTACAGTTCAGAAGGACAAATAAAAAAGATAGAAATACCACCTAGTTGGAGACAGTGCAGTGCTACAAAAGTATGACAGAGAACAGATTCTTGTGGTATACAACTCATTCTTGCTGGCCTCTGTTCACTTTTGAAGAGCAGAAAGACTAAAAAACCCCCCATTTTTCAGAGTTAACAGAGGAATGGAACTGCACACCACATACCTGCAACTTTTCACACACTGGAAAAAACAAAACATCTGAATACTTCCAGTTTGGTTTGTAATTTATTGTGACTAGTATAAACCCTGATAAAATAAATGTAGCCAAGTCCTGTGTGGCTGCCTGACTGAGTTTGTCAAAGCTACAGACCTCTGGTTGGTTGTGTGCAATTAGCTCTACATTAGGGTCTAACAGGGACCCCCAACATCTATGGATGGTGCTAGAGATGTAAAAACAGAAGATCTGCCCAAATGCTTGATAGGCTGCAATATGTAGTTGATATAGCAGAAACAACCCAGGGGCCAAGCATCAGGTGGTCCAGGCTTAACAAGAATACTTGAATGGGCTGCTATGGAAAACTCTTGCCATTGGTTTACTACAGGCAAGCCTCCAGCAATATGCAACTTATTATCAGAGGGGATAGCAGCAGAGGCCCACCACAACTTGAGCACTTTTGGTAGAGTCCTGTGGCCCAGCAGATAATTTTATGCCCACCTTACTTCATCAAGACATAATTTGAATTAGGTGTGCAATGTGATTTATTAGAAATACGTTCTACACAACTATCTTCAGCAAAAGTGCTGTGAGAATTCAGCTGATGGTTTTTAGTGAGGCAAATTGCAAACTAAGTTGGGCACAAAGAATAACACATTAATTCCAAATATCAGATTCAGGCCAAAATAATAAAAAAGCACATTTTTAAAACAAACTTTTTTAAAAAAAAATCACCAAGTGCTCCTCTCACCTTACAATATACATTCTTTAATATGTAACGTCTTTCTGTCTCTCTCTGCTTGTTTGTAAAGTTAAGGAGCATCACATCAGAAAGTGGTGAGCATTGCAGGTGACTGAATGAACACAACAGAGACTTTTAACCATGGTAAAATGCAAGAAATTCCCTATATTGGTGCGTGGTCAACAGAGTTTGTAGTAAAGACTATATGTACAGAAGTGGGGAATTAAAAAAGCTACTCCATAGCATACAGATTCCAAAAGTGCTCTGTGTCAACTTGGAGCCTGGATGTCAATAATAAATCCCCCCTCCCAAAACACAAGGCCCCGCTCCACTGAAAAATAAATTTATACTAGAAACTTGCTGTTCCTGATATATCACTTATAACAAGCATCATATAAAAGGCAAAAGGCGTCACACAAATTTGGCACATGAATACTGCACAATTCAAAGGGCCTTATTTTTTCAATGTGATGTAAAGGATATTAACTAATAATGGAGGAGAGGTGGTCATGTTGTTAAAACCAGACAAGTTACTTCAGTGTGCAAAAAAGACTGGGCTCACATTTTCGAAAGCAAGTTCTACTGAGGTGAACACAGCAGTAGCAACTGAGGGGGGAAATCCATAATAATGATGCTGAACAACCCAGCTGCTTTATGTTCCCTCTCCCCCCAAAAGTGTTTACAAAGGATTTCCCCAAGCATTTCATCCTGCATATGAAAGTTAGCAGCTTTATGACAACGTTATTTCTCTTTTCAAGTATATCAAAATCTCATCTCTTCTGCAGAGCCATTTTGCCCCTCAAGTAGCCAGTCAACATTGGAGGCTGTGTGATACTTGCTACTGGGTGCAGGTGTATCAACACAAAACAAGTCTGACAGGAGAAGGAAGAAGATACACAGAGAAGTCAACAGACAATATACAGAAAGAAAGAAGGGGCATTAACAAGGAGGGCGCACAGAAGTGGGTACTCACACTTCACCCACAAATACAACATATACATCAAGCAAAATGACCACCACGTGAAGAGCTTTACACATCTCCACATTGGCTGCTGTGTCCATTTAAATGGCAGTCCTGCTGGGCAATCCATCTCAAATGCATGGTGTTAGTGGAAAGGGAGTAGGAACAGCTTAGATGCAAACGAGCCACAAGTTCAGACCTTCTTGCGTGAAGGTGGCTTTGTGTGGCTCTTGCGTAAGAAGCAATGCTGAAATAGCCCACTCTTAAGCAAGAGCAGAGATTTAAATTGCCAGCATATATTACCGATAACTCTTGGGGGAAGAGGAAGGAAGGTGTTCTCTTTCATTAACACCCTGCTCTTAAACACAGTTTATACAGAAGGAGATCCTGCTGAGTCTCAAGAGCAGTTACCTTCAGGTTTATTTAGGATCAGGGAGTTAAGAATCTGTTTTCAGCCCCTGTGGTCATAGGATCTTGGCTTTTATTTATTGTAGGGTAAAAATGAAGAATCCTACAAGAGCACTTGGGATTTTGCATTGGTGCACTTATGGTGGCCATTTTCTATAGGTTTCAATAGTAAAAAGGGCAGCTGGCTGACAATATGCAACCCTGAAAAACTCTATTCCAGATCACACATGGAGAGTGCTCCAATCTCTTTTTAAAGGGCTCTTTCAACTGCTTGCTTCCCATTTCCCCCCAAATCTTTTCCCCTAAACCTGACCTTTAAGTCACTGTGCTCATCCATCAGAATCAAACAGTCCTTAGGACAAGGGCACAAGTGATGATGATGTTGGGACTGACTAGAATCCCAGCCCATGGCTTCTGGAACAACCAGTAACTAATTATTTTGCCATCATTTTCCCTTTCTCAGCTTGGAGGTACTTTTCTAAAAAGAACCACTTTCTTCTTTCAGAGTTAAAAACCATTCTTGATATTGTTTACTACTGAGTAGAGCTTCTTGAACTTGCTTCTTGTTCTTAATTAGCAGACATTTAAAAGAATAATTAATAAACATGTATCTCATTTAAAAACCCTAGCCATTTGACCTCCTCTTGAAAAAGATTACCTCCTTGTGCAGTGCTTTGTTTCTGACTGTAAACAGCAATTTACGTGTGGATTCTTCAACTTCTAAATTAAGACCTGTTAAAAATACCCTAGGGCTTGTGATCCAAACTCTTCTTTCTGCTACTTAAAACACAGTTGGAATTTAGCTTTATGTGCACACTTTCACAGTAGGTATGACTAGGAGGGTTGGAAGGAGGAAATATTGGATTATCTGGAGAGATCAAGAAAAAAAAAAGATTGAATCAAAATGTCAGTAGCCAATGAATTCATTGTTGCAGCAAGAGATGCCTCATACCTCTAGTAAAAACACAAACAGTAAAATGAAACCAAAACCATACCACAAAATATACCTCATGATTTCTTTCTTGGAATGGCTGCTCTTCTTGAGAGTAACATGGCTTCATGTTTATGGTCAACAAGAGAAGAACAGAATAAAGTGCTTCATGGGGGAAAATCATCAAAATAAATAGAACTACTTCATGGCAGGAAGAAAATAAATGGACAGTGATCTCCAGCCAGTTTTTTTTTTTTCTGAAGTTGCATTTCCCCCTAACTGTGCCCAAAGCAATTTGTACCCCCATCACAGATTCCTACAAGAAGTGGCTTTAGCAGCAGAGTCTAATTCCCCTGTGTATCCATCCCTTCTTCTCACTGGTTTGTAAATCTTAGAAGAGAAGCAATCCCACAGCTAAGCGCTCCTCCTCCTCTCCTCCTGCCCGTTACATTGCTTTCATCCCATTGGCAGTGACAGTCTCGGTCACCCCGTCATTCACGGCTGCTGAATCATGGAGGCCAGAGTAATCTTTGAGTTCAGAGTTCGTCAGCAGCAGGGGCTGTTCCCCCTTCTTATGTGGTAGGAGAGGCTGCCGGGTATAATGTTCGCCATCTGGAATGTTCTCTGGCAGGTTCTGATTTTTGCTCTCTGGCAAGAGGAGAATGCAAATGATGCAGATGAGGGTGCAACAAGCAAAAATCACATGGTGAAGGAAGTAACCTCTCTGGTTGTGAAGTTCCATGATGGGTGCCGTCAGCATCCCGAAGCCTGCACTAGCCAGGACAAGGCCGAGGCCACCACCCCTGTAGAAGCAAGCATAATTCTTCATTGTAGGCCAACTGTCCAAGTAATATGGTAATAATATAGAACAGATGCACTTCTGCAGCTGCTCACATGGGATAGTCTCTCCTCCTCATCTCTGAAGTGGGCCACTTTATCTAATGCTTTTATTTAACACCAAATATTTTTTAAAAAACCCAAAATTGGTTTTTTAACACCAAAAACCTCAAGATAATTTGCAACCATTGAAAGATTACAATAAAACTATAAGAGGAACACTTGTATGGAACAGACCCCATAAATTACTTAATTGAATTATAATAATGATAGCAATTAGTAACCCCAAACAAATTCTTCCAATATTTGCCTGAAAAATGAAGTCCCCCAGTTGTATCCTTGGCCCCAGTAGAAGCTAAGAAATCAGTCCTCTTACTATTGACTTTTGTTTATATTCAGTCACATGGGGCATGAGAGAACAAAAGATGGACCATAACCCAGGTTGAGGACTTACACACAGTTGTTGGTCTCCTTCTGCCAGGTTGGCATGGGTTATAAAAGGAAAAGGAGTAGCTGATTGGCTAGTAAGTGGTAGCACCATGACAACATGACATCAACAGTCATGAAATCTGAAAAATGTACTTCAAGAAATCTTTTGAGAAACTGAATGAATTTTTTTTATCAACAAGGCCTCATTGTGCCAAGCATGTTGCTCAGATTTTTAATTGCCTGATTCATGGTATATGTATATTGCACACACCTTTTACTCTGAGTAAAATGCACATGAAAACCAAATTATTGCATATGAGTGAAAATTACCTCATAACTCAGTTCTAGCACTTAAAAGTCAGCAGAAATGAGGAAATCTCACAATAAAATGTTACGCTGTCTGCTTTAAATCTGCATTTATGTATCAAGTACAATCCAAAAATAGGTAAAATATTTTTTTAAAACTGCTAAAACAAGTTACAATTAAATGCCCTCCTTTCTGTTTATTTGTGTGCGTGCATGTATTAAATATTCTTCTATTCTGTTGATAAATCTTTGCTTTCTATCCTACCAAAAACAGAAACTTGGGACTTATGTAATTCTTTATGTCATCACTAGAGAGCAAGCTTTCCTTATTTATTTTATAAGCAGTATAAAAGCAAGGAGCTGCAATTACTGAAAAAGATATACTGATGTTAGGTTTCTTAACCAGCATGTCTGCTCACTTTTCATTGTCACATTTTGTATCTACTGTATATTTGAAAAGCCATTCAGGAGCCTTCATATTAAAAAATTCTTTCTTGATCAACTCTTTTAGCTGATGGATTAAGTATGTATGAATATGTAGACCAATGAGAATGCTGGCCTGGATCCAAATATGACAAAGGCAATGAAATTAGGCTTTAATCACAAGCAAACTCTCACTGCTTTCAACAAATATTTTCTAAGCATGACTATCTGGATTTAACACATTATACAGAAGAAAACCACCTTTTGATCAAACAGTGGAAGTTAGAACAATTTCTATCTACATTTTCCATACTATCCATGATTTCAAATATTTATGTTGTGTCCACATTTATTTACCTTTTATTTAATTAATTAATTTTATTTAAACAATTTATATGGCTGCCCAGCTCACTCATGGTGACTCTGGGCGGCTTACAAAAATAAAAACCCCAATACAAAACCCCCCACTTTATTTAAGGCAAGCCCCCAATGTTTTTCTTGTCAGGAAGGCACCAATAAATGTGGCTGCCCTTTTCTCCATCTCCCTCAGTTCTGCAGTATTCTTCTTGAGATGAAGTGATCATACCTATTTCATCTCCTGAAATTCAGTCTGTGGAATCTATTATCTAGTGACTTCTAGTAGTGCTTAAAATCAGGAATCTACATTGGCTGTGTCAAGATTCCAGGATAGGTGTTCAAGAACAAAAACAAAAAATCTTATTTAAATATACATTCACACTTTAGGGAGTTTCCAAAAGTTGTCCCTATGCTTCCATGGAATATGCACTTCAGAAGTAGCTAATGCTATCTCTCTCGCTCTTTCTCTGAAATTACTTGGGAGTGATTCTCTTTCAGCTTCCTTTGAGATTTCTGGTTCTCCTCTTTGCACAAGGGCAAAATAAATGTAGGGTTTTCTATCCAGAATGAAGAGAGTCAGTATGGTGTAGTGATTAAGATGCTGGACTAGAAACAGGGAGCCCCAGGTTCTGGTCCTCCCCTAGGGACAGAACCCAGCTGGGTGACCTTGGGCCAGTCACTCTCTCTCAGTGCAAATCAGCATCAGGCTCAATGACTAGCTGGCTGAAAACCACAACCCTTGTCACATCACACACTGATAGGCTTCACTGTAAGAACTAGGTGAACGTAGTACAAAACAAGTGGGCTCTGCAACTGAGCACATAAAGAACAGGCCCTTAACTGAGATGATTAAGATTTTGTTCTCTTCTGCAGATTTGAAGCTGGGCAAAGAGATTGAGAAATACCTCAAATGGAAAGACACAGAGGAAGCCAGCTTCTTAGCACCTAGGCCCTTGCTGGACACTTCTCCCCCACAAATATCTCATTCTATTAAAAAGAATTCTGTTTTCAGCAGCCAAAATACACAGTGGAAACTGTATTTTAAATACAGTTATTTCGCAAAAAGTCTACTACAGGACGCTTAGGGCTTTCACTCTGCTAAGTATTTGAAAGCCCTTGCAACAGAGAATTAAAATTCTTCAGTGATGTTTAAATGCTTAGCAGCTTGGGGCTGGAAGAACCAACCAGAATTAGGGGATCAACATCCATCTGAATGGACGAGGTTGTATCAAAAAACCTCCACTTCTCTTTATGCTTCAATTTGGAGGTGTTCACAACAGACTTTTCCTTATAACAAAACATGTTTTAATAAATGGCACTAATTCCCCTCACAGTCAGTATCTTTGAAATCTGAAAGTTTAAAAATGTTATTATGAACTTATCTTCATCGAATTTAGGGCCAGTAAATTATACACGTGATGCAGATTAACAGGAGAAATCAACACTCAGAAACACAATTTTAAAGTTGTTGGTTTGTTTTAAAGGAAAGGGTACTGAGAAGATTTTACATTATTTCAATCTGAGTTATGTCATTCTTTAAAATCAAACTGGGTTTGTATCCAAAATAAACTGAAAGGATATTTTCCTACTAACTTCAGCAAAAAAAGTAATTTAATATTTTATGCTATTCAATGCCTTTTATCAGCAGAGCTCTCCCCTATATTAATTTGACTTACTACAAAGTTATGTAATAACAATGTGCAAAGAATTCTATATCCATTGTCTCTCTAATATCTACAGTGCTCTATGACTGCTGTGTTTATGATCATAATGCAGATGCAAAATGTAATATAATTGCTAATATCTCATTTGCTGCAGGCAAACAATAATAAATAGTAATAGTAGCAGCAGGAGCAGTAGTAGTTGTGTTATTACTTGGAACAGTGCATATATTACAGTTTCTTTAACTATCCTAAATCTCTGGGATATATCTGGTAGTCAAAATTACTAAATCCAGTCAGAGCTATCTGGTGGACTATGTGTAAATAACATCAACAACAATAGTAATAATATGGCTGGTTACAGAGCCTGGTGCTGAAATGGGCTGAGAGGGATGACTGTCCCAAGGTCACCCAGCTGGTTTGCATGCCTAAGGGAGGACTAGAACCTGGGTCTCTCTCCATGCCTAGTCCAGCACCTCAACCACCACACCACATTGGCTCTCCTTCAGTGAAGCTTCCTCTGCGGATCAGATCCACTTAACTATGCAAGATCTCACCCAGGCTGGTGGTCACAAAGCAAACTGGCAGCTGCAACCAAATACTAGACAGAGTATTCAACAGCTAGCAATAAAATTATGAAAACATGAGTCATTAGAACTTTGTCCAAGGAGCTCAAGCCATCACACAGCCCTCCAAGAAACAAAGCATCATGCCCTTCCTCTTGCAACAACACGATGACTCTGCAAATCACATAATGGTGAGAGGGAGTGGCTGGTTCAGATAGTTTCCTGATTTTAAACCCTACTGATAGCAGAATGTTAGGGCAGTGTATGCAACATTTTTATTTCATCATTATGGATTGATTAAAAATGTACATATTGCTTCTCATTTACATATTCCTATAACGATTGACAACAAAGTTATAAACAATAGAAACAATAAAACAACCTGCTAAAAAGAACAATAATGAGCAAACAGGACATGCCAAATGTAGGTTTGCCAATATACTGAAGAACACTATGGCATGGAGAACACCTTTAAAAAGTAGACAATAGTGATAATCTCTCCAAAATCTGCATTTTGATTGGACTAGAAGACAAGAACCGAGGAGAGAGAGATTAAATTTTCTTTTAAACTAAAAAGTTCCCTGAATGTTTTTATTATTTTTTATGAAGCTTGCTAATTCATTGACTACAGAAGCTTTTGGTATACCCCAGGCTCAAACCATTTTATAAGTCTCAAAGAGACACTGGGAGAACTATGTACACTGACTGAAACATAGAAGAAACAAATAAAATAGAAATGCAGAGGACAACTGGAGAATAACCTCAATCATTTCCAATTATAGCAAACAGCCAGCTTTCCTTTCATCAGATTTACAGGTCAAAGCTATTGCATGGATTAATCACTGGTGGTGTATGAAACAACAAAGCAATGTCCTTACTAGTTTTTGGATGTTTATGTAGCAATCATTAATACCTAGTCTGCCCCAAAGTGTCCAACCCTAAAACTAGTTGATCAGAGGACCAATGTCTATAAACTTAAGAGAGTCCAGAATGTCTTCTCTTCCCAGAGTGCACTCTTATTGAAATACCTTATTACTGTTGGGGTGATCTCTGCACAGAAGAATACACTGAGACTTCCAACTGCGTGCGATGAAAACATCCCCACAATGGAAAATGCAATGGAGAATTTGTCCTTTATGGTGTCACTCATACCTGTTTAGACACATGCAAACATGTCAGTTGCATTCAATTCTCAAGGATTGACAGCTCCCTGTTCATAGTTCACCTCTACCAACTACAACTGTTGGCCCTTGTACGTGTTCAGGATAGTGTAATGAAAAGGAAGTGTAAGGCAACATGAGGGCCATTATGCACTTTCTTTTGTCTTTGTGAATTAGAGGTATGCACCCAAGAAAAAATTCTTACTTGGAATGTATCCAACAGCGAAGGGATGTGTCTTTTATTTATTTATTTATTTGAATTAAAACAACAAGCTATAAGGATGTCTTTTTTGTTGTTGAAATTGTTGGTTGACTCTCATCTGAAGGTTTTTTTGTTTCTGTTTTTTGGTGCCTTCGAGTCAGTCTTGACTCCTGGCGACTGCCCAGACTAGTCCCTGTAGTCTTCTTGGCAAGATTTTCAGAAGTGGTTTGCCACTGCTTCCTTTCTAGGGCTGAGAGTGACTGGCCCAAGGTCACTCAGCTCTCTTTGTGCCTAAGGCAGGACTAGAACTTAGGGTCTCCTAGCTTCTAGTCTGATGCCTTAACCACTCACCAAACTGGCTTTCTTATCTCTCATCTGAAGTATGGAGAGATAAATCCGCCTTCACCATGCATGGCACTGAAAACAAAAATGACCTCCCACTCTTACATAATTATAATTAGTCTAAAAAGAAAAATATGACATAGCTACACATGCAGGTAGAATATGTGTTTAGGCCCACAAAATCAAACTCCAAACTTGATTCAATTAAATTTGCATTTGATTAAAATTAATCACACATAGATATTACAAATATTACAGTTATTCCCCAAGCACCTGATACTTTTCCCCATTTTGTTACATGAAATTTTGTGGGAGCTTTGGGAAGTGACCTGACCAACATCAAAAACTCTCAGGACTTCTGCCTGTTCACTCCGATTATAAGCATGCTTGTTGGGGAAGGTCAAATAACAACAGCAGCAACAAAAATAAGTTTTAAGTGAAACCAATGGGGAAGGCTATGCTGAAACAGAGGGGAGATATGGGTGAAATAGGGTTTCCTCAAAGCTGGCTACCAGTGCTTAAAATGGTGGAAATGTAAGCTCAGTGCAAGAAGGTTCACTGACATTAAATAAATCACATTCAAAAACTGATTTGGAAACTATACCTGAGTCTGGAAGTTGACTGTATTTTCCTATCACTGGATTCAGAACCATATGATGATTAAAACATGGGAAACAGAAAAAGAAAAAAGAACATATGAAGAAAAACACACATCCAATAGCAGTTGTTTTAAAAGGTTACAGTGTAGAATTGCTCCTCTAACTACCCCAGCACATTTCTTCTTTAATGGATTGGTAGAAAGGAAATATACCCTTTCCCCAGACTGCCTGGCCTGCGGTTTTATCTCCAATTCCCAATGAAAAGATAGAATTCTAATGAGATGTTAACAATGAACGGCATGATGGTGAAGGATTCCAGGCCTAGAATTAATGCAGACTCAACAAAGGCTTTTATATTGATCATGTAGGGAAAATAGGGAAAAACACAGACAGAACCAGATTCACTATTAAAAAGCAAAACTCTGAAAATTTTAGGCAAGTTTTACTGGAAGGGAGCTCCTGCAAACCCTGTTATTGTAACTCTCAGGACTCCACACTTCATGAATGCCTTAAGGTAGAAACCTGATCTCCATGTCTTTCCCTGTTTCTCAGGTCACTTTTGGATTATTTTGATATTTATTTCATGCAGAGTCAGTATGTAATATAATCAGATATAAATTTTACAGAGCTGCTTTACTGAAGATTATTATTTGCATTTGTATGAAGATAACATTTCCTTGGTGTCAAGCTTGACTTGTGGTGTCTACATGGACACATACATGCAGCTGAGAAACAGGATGGAAGTTGTTTGCTATTGCCTTCTTCCAAAGAAGTGTTTTCCAGTCTACCCTAAAGGCTGGACCTCTCGAATGGTCTTCTTTGCATGTATTAAATGACCACATCCTGCTTAGCTTCTGAGTCCAGACAAAGTCATCCACCTGCTAAGAGCTGTATATGACATGTTCGATGTTTGATACAGGCATAAACTGCAAGGATCTTCTGCTAGGATATGCCTTCCTGAGTCCTGGAACCATATTTGATTATTTCTGTCATCCACATAATCATCTAATCATAATGTTCTTGATCTCAGAGGAGTTGCTACGAAACACACAAAGCCAAAATTAATTTAGGCTTTGAGAAGAGAAATGGTATTGGATTAAAAGTAAAGGTGAATCTGGGTCATTATGATCTGCTAAGATGGTTAGTTGTAGATGGGGATTTTGTGGGACCTCACAGTCTCAGCATCTGCTCTGGTCAGCCAAATGCAAATTAACACAGAAGTAGCTGAGGTGTCTTCCATTAAAAGTAGTATAATCTCTAAGTCTCAGGATAGTTCTGGCAGAGATGGAAATGTGTCATCAGCCAATATTTTCTTTCTCCCCAGTCTCTGAATTTATCCAGACTAGACACAGACTATGCTAGAAAATGAACCTTGTAGAGATCCAAGCTTTGGTGATGTGTGATGCATTTTAAACTGTACAATTGAAGTACAGAAAATGACAACCTTGAATCAAAAAGGGACAGATATAAGTAGCCATTTCCATGATATCAAACCACAATGACATAGGGCACAGTTGCCAGATTATAATTTGCTCTTTCTCTCAGAAGGAAGCATCTGGAGTGTGTCAGCACACTGCATGTACCTTCTAGCTAGTGGCACGTCTATACAACAATATATTGGCTTGTAAGGTAGTGTCTAGAGATCCTAGCTTGCAGAGTAGCTTGGCATATCTGGGGTAAAACTAGGCTTTAGTGGCATTTGTGGTACCCTGACCAAAGTATCAAAACTGACTGATACTGTCCACACGATTAGCTAAAATTTTGTGATGTACAGGTGTAGAAAAGCAGTATTTGGTAGTAGGCATTCTGATGTGTGGAATGAAAGGTTGTCAAAAGAAGTAAAAGTGGCTGCATATTAGAGCATTCTTCTGCTTTGTTATATGTAAGTGAGAATAGGGTAGGGCAGGAGAAACATAATGTAAATTGAATGCTGTGGAAATAGGCCTCTTAAAATGTGTGTGTGGCAAAAGGAGAGAGTGAGTCAGGACTGAATGGGTGGTGACTGAATGTGGACTGAATACAAAAGTGAGGGAGCAGTATGAAAAAAACTACGTTGGTGGTTTGGTCCTATAGAGAATGCAAATCAAATCACAAAACAAATATATGAAGAATGAATGGATTGAGAGGTATGAAATCAACAAAAGTCATGCTTGGATGGAGTTCAGAAAATCCTCAAAAAGAGAGAGGTGAGAAGTTTCAAGAGCAAAAGGCAATCTATGAAGAAGTGAATGGATATGGTAGAAATGAGGAATGTTTGCAAGGATTGAAAGGTATGGAGGAATGTAGGGAATGGTGTTGGTGTACACTACCTTTAGCTATATTTCCCTTTCTTTTCACTTATATGTTTAATGCATGTTGCTCAATATTTCATATTCTTTTTCTGAGTTTTGCATAATGTTGTGTTCCCCCAAAGGGTACGATATGAAAGGCTCTGTAATTGAAAATGTGTTTGCACAGAAAGCAAATGGAGAAACCAGAAAGACTAAAAGGGCATGGTTCATTTTGTCATAACCAGGTCCAATCTATTCGTTATCTGCACTCCAAGGTGTTAGAATTTTCTGTCCTTCAATTATAAATTCCAATGCTCCTTGCAGCGTGGCTCCTTTGTGCCATATGGATAACTACCTCAGTAATACAAGATGAGGAAAGTCTCCATTGGAGGAGACTTTATACAGGTAGTCCTTCTTTAGTGACCACAATTGGGACTGGCAACTTGGTTGTTAACTTAAGTGGTCGCTAAGTGAAATTCTGACCCTGCTTATGATCTTACTTCTGTTTTCCTTTGCTTTGCAAACCTGCAAAGGTCATAAATGCAAGGATTGGTCATAAAGTTACTTTTCTATCACTGTTGTAACTGCAAATGGTCACTAAATGAGTCAGTCACTAAATAAGGACTACCTGTAGTGGAAGTTATATGGCAAAGCAGCAGGGATGGCCCAAACCATTTAGTGCCTGAGGCACATTCCCACATATAGCAGCCAGTCAGATGCCAGGTGTTCTTTACTTCAATGCAGAAGCAATGGATCAGTATCCTCCATGCAACTGAGGGCTAACTTGCTGACTTAAAGGGTGCAAGGAAAACTGCATAACACCCAGCACTTCCAACATCTTGCTGCTGTTCTGCCCATGCCTTTCTCCAGCATCTATCACCAGAGTCAGCTGCCTCACTTTGCTTAATGACAGAGCCCTCTATATCCTTGCTAGAAGTTAAATTGGAGAGATGGGCAATCAGCTACCGTCAAGAAGAAAAGGTAATATGTAGAGACTATATTAAGCCTTACACAAAGAAATGTGTAAAGAAATGTACAAATTTGCATTGTTCCTTCTTTCTCTCCTTTTGTTCATAATCAGGGCTTCTAACTGCCCATTGTGATGGTTCCCTTATCTTTCCACCTACAACGAAGGGTAGTAGTAGACCTGAAACCCTGTGGTAATCTGAAAGTCAGGGCTCAGTGAATCTGAACTAAGCTTTGCAGTAGTTTGATGCTGACACTCACAGTTGAGAAGGCCCAGTTGTAAAAGAGAAGCCAGGGCAGTGAGGATCATGAAGAGCAGGAGACCCCCTCTTCTCCCAAGAAAACCAACCACCAGGCACATGGCCAGGCAGGACACCAGAGTGATCCCAGCCATGGTGTAGTAGTCCGCATAAAAATTGTTGGTGAATGACATCTTATCTTCGTGACCCATCATACTCTTTGCAAAGCAGTGGTGTATCCCGTATCCAGTCAGCCTGTGAGAGACAACACATGACAAGTAACAGGAACCATTCCTTTATGACCACACAGTAAATGATTACTCAGAACTAGCAGGTTGGACTTAGCCCAGTCCCAAATAGGTTTCTTTTATAAGAGTCACAGAGAGGAAAAACAAAACAAAACTGAACTACATATTTCTCCCATTTGCTTGGGATGTCAGGGCCAAATTTATCTATCATAGTCTCTCAGAATTCTTCTAGTAACATCTAGGAGAGCTTGGTATGTGGACCTCGAAGTGCCAAGACGTGGCACACAAGGTACAGTGCCATGCAGTTCAAACTACCCACATGAGAAGTCTCTCTCCTGTGGAGAAAGACAGCTACAAGGTCCAAGCAACTTGCTACAAGAAAACAATACACGAATATGTTTGGCTCCCAAAGATTTGCTTAGATTCATGATGGAGTAATAATTCTGCTCAGGTTAGATATAGATGGGTGGAGCAGCTCCAATTTGCAATACATGGTAGGAGCTTGGATAAGCTCCCCCCCCCCCCCCTTTTAGCGTCCAATATCTGCTGGTACTAAGGAAATTATATCCAAAGCCATGAGAACCCATATTAAAAATATAAATATTCTGAGACATGCTTATGTCATGCAAATAAAGTGAACTGGTTCATCATTGCTTTGTTTGCATAAACTATTCCTCCTAAGCTGGGAGGAAGGATAAGGAAATCACATCCTTGTCCATAACAAATGAGCTGCTTCTTCAGCATTATTTCAGTGATCATGGACCAAATCTTTGAAGCCAAGGTTCACAATCAAAAGGGACTAGAAACTTGCTTTTAAATAATTTTTTTAACAAAAAGCAAACAGAGATTCAAATCATGAATTCTCTGTTCAGTACTAAATGGAAGGCATTTTTCTACTCTAGCAAAGAACTGCAGAATCTAAAGGCTAACAGGAAGCAGTGTACCATGCGATGGTGTAGAATCTTATTTCATTTCATACTTAAATATGGATACTGAAAAGCAACCTTGCCAGGAGCCTCACAGTTTGTTTTTCCCCACAATGAACAACTCTAAATTAGATTAGCACAATCAAAAGAGCAACAAAAATTTGGACAATTTACTTTAGGATTGCTTGCTATTGGAGTCTGATAAAACAGCCCACATAATTCTCTACCCAGTATAAGTGATGAAGAGTTCCTGAAATGAGGCACTTATCATAGTGGGTTGACATATGCATGGACATCTCTTGCTTGTTCAGCAGTCAACAACAGGGAATTGGATGTCTGAAAAAAGACTCAGTGATTTGAGTTACCGCTGAGTGATATGAGATCTGTGCACTCTTAATGCTGCAGTCACCAAATGACGAACATGCGTATGCAATCATTCCTGATCTGGGTTCAAAAGAACTTTTCTTTTACTACGCTCTCTAGTTAGATAAGATGCCTTACGTAAAAGTACTATGCCAGGAGGCAACTTGTCACCAAAGCCAACCATCTGCCAACCCCAACACCCCACCCCACCTCATCCCAGTTTTTAGTTGTTTGTTGTAACAGTTGTTCAGAGTGATATTGTTAAGAAAAATCAGGCAAACTAATCAGTTCAATTTTTTTGTGTCTGCCTTTGAGTCAATCTTGACTCCTGGCAACTGCCCGGACAAGTCCCTGCAGTTTTCTTAGCAAGATTTTATTTTCTTTAAATAACTTTATTAAATTTTAAAATAGAAACAGTAGAAACTAACAAAAACTAATATTAAAGGGAGGAGATAAGAAAAAGAAAGGAAAATTAGAAAAAAAGAATGACTAAGGTCAAAAGTGCAAAAAAGCAAAACAAAATCAAAGAAAGTAAAAGAAAGATAAAGGAAGAAAAAGAATTGACTTCTGACCCTCCTCACAACAGATATAAGGAACAGTATACATCAATCTCTTGCTTTAAGTTTACAACATAACTTTCATTATTACTATGAACCCATATTATTTCTAATAATCAAATCCATACAACATAGTTTCATTTTTTTCAGTTTCCTGCAGTAAGTCCAAAAAAAGTTTCCAATTAACATTGTAATTACACAATCTCTTTTCTCAAATCAAAGCCATATATTTCACCATTTCAGCCAACTCCATCCGCTTCACTTATATATGCTGTTATCATATATAAGAACAAAATTCCATAAATTTAATAACAAATGTATTTTAACCTTAGTCAAAAATA